GGTAGTCCACACCTATAATCCCAGCTCTCTGGGAAGCCGAGGCAGGCAGGTCACTTGAGGTCAGGAATTCAAGACCAGCCTAGCCAACGTGGTAAAATGCCATCTCTACTAAAAATATAAAAATTAAATGGGCATGGTGGCAGGTGCCTGTAATTCCAGCTACTGGGGAGGCTGAGGCAGGAGAATCGCTTGAACCTGGGAGACAGAGGTTGTAGTGAGCCAAGATTGCATCACTGCACTCCAGCCTGGGTGACACACACACACAAATATGGCCAGTTCGATCCATCTATTAAAGTCAAAAAAAAAAACCAGAGAGGAAAAAAAGTAAAAAGAAAAAAACCAAAACATGGCAACATGGCTAGGTATGGTAGAATACCAGTGATCTTCCTGCCTCAGTCTCCCAAAGTTTAAGCCCAGCACTTTGGGAGGCTGAGGCAGAAGATCACTTGAGCCCAGAAGCTCAAGACCATCCTGGGCAACATAAGGAGATCCTATCTCTACTGGGGGAAAAAAAAAAAAGAAGCCAGGTGTGGTGGTGCACGCCAGTGGTCCTAGCTATTCAGAAGCCTAAGGTGGGGGGACTGCTTAAGCCCAGCAGGTTAAAGCGGCAGTGAACCCTAAGCATACCACTGCACTCCAGCCTGGACAACAGAGCAAGACCCTGTCTCAATTTTAGAAACAAAACAAACAACAAAAAAAACCATGAAGCCAACAGTTCCATTCTATTTTTCTCATGGGAATACCAAGAAGACTAGGAGAAAATTTATATATTGTTAAAAATAAAATGGTTTTCTATCGTCTAAAGAAGAGAAAATCACAAAAGTGCTATGATAAAATTCATATACTATTCAAAACCAACATTTTTTTCTACACTGTGTTGCCATAATAAATTGGGACAACATTAACTCCCCAGACCAGGAAAAAGTCCCAGCACCAGCCAGACACAGAAATAAGATGTACATTTTTGCCAAACTCACAAAGAAAATTCTTCTCGTAGACGCCTTCTATATTGCTTCTTCGGTTTCATGGTGTTGAAGTACGGCAGCTTGATAACATCAGGCCACACAGCTGGACAAGGGCTACCACAGAGTCGGCTGAAAACAAAGCAAAAAGCAAGAACAACGGAGTGAGTGAGTCAGCATCATGAATTCTGGAGGTTTTAGAAGCAGAAATTATTACCTCCTGAGGTCTGGGGAATCTTTGCTTATTACATTAGAGGGCATGCATAAAGGAAAGTATGACATCACTGCTTTAAGGACAGAAAGGAATAGAACAACAGAAAGAACTGGTTATAACAGAGCGAAGAAGAAATACTGGGATAATAATCCTAAATGATCTACATTATTTGGATTGTGAAATGTTTTAATCTTCCCATACAGGTTTTCATTACCAGTTTTGTTCTGTTTGATTAACACTAATTACAAAGGGCTAAGTTGGTTCTATAGTATCCCTATAGGGTAAACTGAGAGATGAGAAGAGTATAGCCTGAACATTTTGATAGATAATTGACAGTTTACCAAATAATAAAAAATGAGTTATGTATCACCTTTAAAAAATGTCTACATTAGGCTAGCATGGTGGCTTATGTATGTAATCCCAGTACTTTGGGAGGTGAAGGCGGGAGGATTGTTTGAGCCCAGGAGTTCAAGCCAAGGAGTATGAGCCCAGGCAACATCATGAGACCCTATCTCTAAAAAACAAATGAACAAAAAAATAGCTGGGTGTGGTGGCAAATGCCTATAGTTCCAGCTATTCGGGAGGGTAAGATGGGAGTATCGCTTGAGTGCAGCAGTTTGAGGCTGCAGTGAGCTATGATCATGCCACTGCACTCCAGTCTAGGTGACAAGAGTAAGACCCTGTGTCTAAAAAAAAAGAAAAGGAAAAAAAAAAAGTCTATATTAGACTGCTATATTCTTCCCTTTAATTTTACTGGGGGAAAAAAAAAAAAAACCACCCAAATTCCAGCCCAATCCCGGGCCTTCCTCAAATTTTCTATTATAGGCTGCATTTTATAACTATTTACATGCTATATGCCTTACTAAACTCTAAATTCTTTGAATGCAGGAACCTATTTATCTCAGAATCCCAAAATTTAACGTTAAAAGTAATCTGTTGTAAAAATAAAAAAAAAGTAATCTGTTGTATAAAAGGCTCAATAAATGCTTGCTGAATAAATTTTTTATTTATTTTATTTTTTTTTATTCGTTCTTTTTTTGTTTTTTATTTTTATTTTTTTATTTCTTATCTTGTTGCATTCTTTTTGCTGGATAAATTTTATCTAATCTGAGCTATGAATGGAAGAGCCATCCTGAAATGGCATGCTGTTATATGAAGAGCTAATAAAAATTATGCAAGGTAAGACAAGGTAAGACCTAAAAATGAGGTGAAATACAACTTCTTTACATGTATAGCCCATGACAAAATATATGGTAAACCTGACTGAGTAAAAAGAAACTTACTCGGACATAAGAAACATAAACTCAATCAGAATGACTGGAAAGTGATAGAAACTGAAGGATGAGATTACCTATCACACCTGGACACTCAAGAACACATGCACAGCTGTACCTGATCAGTTCTAGCTGAGCCAGTTCCAGATTGGCTTGAAAAATAGGCTTCTTTGTGAATAGTTCCCCAAGAATGCATCTAGAAAAGGTAAAATTGAGAGGTCAGAAATTCTTACAGCCTAGATAAAGAGCCTCAAAAATCTTGTATACTATTAATGTATTGGGTTGCAACCAATATAACTAGCCCCAAATTTCAGTGTCTGAGTTTCCTAAGAGAAAATATTTATTGCAGTGAAACAGACAGTATAAAGATTTAAATTTGCCAGCATATCAAACTTTTGCTACCTATTAAGGACACTCTATGAGCAGAGAAAGGGGGTCAAGAGTCCTCCTGACCTCAGGTAGTCCCCCAGCCTCGGCCTCCCAAAGTGCTGGGATTACAGGCCCGATCCACCACGCCCGGCTATTTTTATTTTTTAGAGATGAGGTCTTACCATCTTGCCCAGAGTGGTCTCGAACTCCTGAGCTCAAGTGATGCTCCCACCTCGGTCTCCCAAAGTGTTGGGATTACAGGCATGAGCCACCATATCCAGCCCAGCTGGACTTTTAAATAGGTTATGTTAAAACAACTTTGCCAGTGGATGTGGTGGCTCATGCCTGTAATCCCACATTTTGAGAGGCCAAGGCAGGTGGATCACCTGACGTCAGGAGTTCAAGAACAGCCTGGCCATCATAGTGAAACCTCGTCTCTACTGAAAAAAAACAAAAATTAGCTGGGCGTGGTGGCGGGTGCCTGTAATCCCAGCTACTTAGGAGGCTGAGGCAAGAGAAATGCTTGAATGTGGGAGGCAGAGGTTGCAGTGAGCTGAGATGGTGCCACTGCACTCCAGCCTGGGCAATAAGAGTGAAAGTCCATCACTAATTGGACATGTTTACATGGTGACGAAGTATTTCCCCACAAATTAGTTATTAATTACAAAAGAGTTAGTAGTAACTAGTGAGAAGGGAATACTTTAACCAAAACTATCATCATCAATATGAGGCAAACAGAGTCTATTTTAAAGTACGAATACAACAAGTATGAGCCGGGTGCAGCTCACGCCTGTAATCCTAGCACTTTGGGAGGCTGAGGTGGGTGGATCACCTGAGGTCAGGAGTTCAAGACCAGCCTGGCCATCATGGTGAAACCCCATCTTAAAAGAAAAATACAATAAATATCCTGATAAGAACATCATATTTCATATGGAGTATTTATGGTAACTTAATCTTCAAAAATATGTCAGGGAAGATAAAGGCTAAGGAATTGTTCTAGATTAAAGAAGATTAAAAAGGCCAGGCATGGTAGTTCACGCCTGTAATCCCAGCACTTTGGGAGACCAGGTGGGCCTATCATTTGAGGTTAGGAGTTTGAAACCAGCCTGGCCAACATGGTAAAACCCCATCTCTATTAAAAATACAAAAATTAGTTGGGTGTGGTGGCATACACCTGTAGTCCCAGTTATGTGGGAGGCTGAGGCAGAAGAATCACTTGAATACAGGAAGCAGAGGCTGCAGTGAACCAAGATCCTGCCACTGCACTCCAGCCTGGGCAAAAGAGCCGGGCTCGGTGAACTCACGCTCATAATCCCAGCACTTTGGGAGGTGGATCACCTGAGGTCAGTGGTTTGAGACCAGGTTGGCCAACATGGTGAAACCCCATCTGTACTAAAAATACAAAAAATGAGCCAAGCATGGTGTAATCCCTGTAGCTGTAATCCCAGCTACTCGGGAGGCTTAAACCCAGGAGGCGGAGGTTTCATTGAGCCAAGATTGCTCCATTGCACACCAGCCTGAGCAAGAAAAGCAAAATTCAATTCAAGCACAAAAAAAAAAAAAAAAAGAATGACAACGTGGAGACTGATTTGAGTAATAATCAAATTCCAGTCCCCCCACAAAAAAAAATAAATAAAAAGAATGACAGCTAAATGTGATACATGATTCTGAACTGGATCCTGTATCAAATAGAGTATTATTTTGGGGACATTATTAAGATACTGATAAAACTGGAATATATTTGGAATGTAGACTGAAGTGATGCATTAAATAAAAATAGTGTATAACAATGTTACAGTTCTTGAATTTGATAACTGTACTGTGGTTAAGACGATATCTTTGTTCTTAGCTATACATTAAATATTAAGAGGGAAAGCTGCATGATATATGCAAAAAATTTCAAACAGTTCCAGAAAAATATGTGGTGTGTACATATGTAAACACAAACATTTTATTCTATGTATGTGTTACATGATGTGCAAATGTGGCAAGATGTTAAAAATTAGTGAATCTAATCTTTTATGCTGATTAAAAGAGTGGGGGGAGTATATACTATATAATTCCATTTGCGTAAAATTCTAGAAATGGAAATTAATCTATAGTGCAGAGTGCAGAACAGTGGTTTGCCTGGGAATGGGAGGGTGTGGGTAGAAGAAAGGGATTACAAAAGGCCACAGGGAAACTGTGGAGGGTGATCATTATCTTGGCTCTGTTGATGGTTTTACTGGTGGATATACTGTGTCAAAACATATAAAAATATATGCAGTTTATTGCATACTTCAATAAAAAAAGGTTTAAATATTGAATGAATTTGATAAGGCTATACTGTACTCATTTTCTGTACTATAATAGTTTTCTGTACTCTTATAACTTTTCCATACACTGAAATTATTTCAAAATAAATTAAAATAAAGGCCAAGCATGGTAGCTCATGCCTGTAATCCTAGCACTTTGGAAGGCTTAGGCAGGAGGATCATTTGAAGCCAGCCAGCCTGGCAACACAGCAAGACCATGTCTCCTTAAAAAAGGAAAAAAAGAAAGAAAACAAGAGATTACATGAATATTCTATACTTTGTTACATGCCTGAAATTTTTTATTTTTTTAAAGTGGGGAAAGAAAAAAATAGTCAATGAATCTGTCTGACCTATGTTTTGAAATGAGACAAATACAAAACCTAATTTATAGGTTTACTTTGAAATTCTTTAGTGTGACTTTGAGAAAGCAAAACAAACCTAGTATTTTTTTTTTTAAGACAGATTCTCCCTTTGTTGCCCAGGCTGGAGTGCAGTGGCACAATCTTGGTTCACTGCAACCTCTCTCTCCCGGATTTAAGCAATTCTCTGCCTCAGTCTCCCAAGTAGCTGGTATTACAGGCATGTGCCACCTCAGTCTCCCGAGTAGCTGGAATTATAGGCATGTGCCACCAGGTGCAGCTAATTTTGTGTATTTTTAGTAGAGATGGGGTTTCACCATCTTGGCTAGGCTGGTCTTGAACTCCTGCCTAAGCCTCCCAAAGTGCTGGGATTACAGGTGTGAGCCACTGAACCCAGTCCAAACCTAGCTTTTTAAGTAGCACTCTTCTGTTAGAATTTAGACTTTTAAACAAATTATGTTAAAACAACTTTAAAGATCTCTTACTTCCAATACTCTCTCAAACCCTATTCACAGATGGAAAAGTAAAATTTAGGCCAGGCCCGTGGCTGACACCTGTAATCCTAGCACTTGGGGAGGCCAAGGTGGGAGGATTGCTTGAGCCCAGGAGTTTGAGATGAGATTGGGCAACATAGTGAGATCCCAACTCTATAAAAAGAAAAAAAATCTATAATTTAATTATGTTTCCAACATTAACTGCCACATCAAGTTCTAAGTGCAGTGTTGTCATCACAGCAGGTAAAATGAGAGACATTTAAAAAAGAAAAAAAAAGCCACTAGGTTTTCAGACTCCAGGCATAATTTGCTGTACTAGTCTCTAGTTTCTCCTCTTGATTCTAATTTGCACACTGAACTGTCATATCAATTCTCTATAAAAAAAATCCCATAAAAATATCTTCAGAGAGACTACCATGGATCACCAAAGTAGTAAATTCATACCAAAAGTCAAACAAAATTTTAATTCAATGAGTCACTGGGCTTTGAACAATGTCTAACTTGCTGCAGTTTTACTTTCAAATTGTGTTTTTCTGTTTTCTTTTCTTTTGGTTCCCAGTACTTTGGTGGGGAAGACATCTTTGTTATGTAATCAATACTTCCCTACTGCACTGAGGTGGCAGGCTGCACAGACTGAAATAATAGTACCGAACAGAGCTATGAACTTTCCCCATGCATCTTAATGGGGTGTTAACTTTAGAGCCTGGTTGTGACAATTTAAATGCTAAGACTGTTAAAGCAAATAGTCCAGAACAAAAACACACCCAGCTTGAGTCAGTAAAATTTAACTAAAGCTTTATTTGATTTGGGTAGGCTACCACAGAAATTATGCTCGTTCTTCTTTCTCCATCATTCTGTTGAATTTTAAAATAAAACCCCTGTAGTGCTCCTCTTAAAGACTGACATTAATAGAGGAAGGAAAAGAATGGAAAAAAGTGATTTGCTCCACTAGGAAGTATATATTCAGACTCCTAAAGTATGGAGGTCAAGGAGAGTGTGTGAGTGGGCATAAATCATACAACGTGGCCGGGCGCGGTGGCTCAAGCCTGTAATCCCAGCACTTTGGGAGGCCGAGGCAGGTGGATCACGAGGTCAAGAGATCGAGACCATCCTGGTCAACATGGTGAAACCTCGTCTCTACTAAAAATACAAAAAATTAGCTGGGCATGGTGGCACGTGCTTGTAATCCCAGCTACTCAGGAGGCTGAGGCAGGAGAATTGCCTGAACCCAGGAGGTGGAGGTTGCGGTAAGCCGGGATCGCGCCATTGCACTCCAGCCTGGGTAACAAGAGCGAAACTTCGTCTCCAAAAAAAAAAAAAAAAAAAAAAAAAAAAAAAAAAAAAAAAAAAAAAAAAAAAAAAAAAAAAAAAAAAAAAAAAAAAAAAAAAAAAAAAAAAAAATCATACAACGTAAGACACAATTAATAAACATGGCCCATTTAAAACCTCCATGCCCCAACACACAGGCTGTAGTTTCTAAATATCATTTTCCACTAAAAGGAACTAAGACTCCTTAAAGAAATGTTTGATTCCAGGTCTGGGGCAGGAAATGAATAGGACAAGGTTGGAACCAAAACCAAGGTGTTTTCTACTATAACGCTACTATGGTGTGTCAAAGAACTCAAAATACAAGCCGAATAAGCTCCCACTGGCCAAAGACTGGACAGTTTGAACAAGAGTAAGGATAATAACCACAATGGATTAAAATACATCAAATACGTTTAAATCCACTAGTTCCTAATGAAACAAAAAAAAAAAAAATTTTTTTTCATTGGTCATCTTTGAAGGTTACGAGGAAGCTACTTCATTATTTTGAAAACTGTTAAATAAAATGAAAGAGTTAACCTTTATCCTACCTTTTCTATATTATTTATACCTGGGTTCAGCCAAATAGATGAGAAATTATTTTTATATAAGTATTCCAATAAGAAATGATATAATTAGAATATGACCATCACGAAACCATCACAAATGAATTAACAGATATGGACAATGTCCAAATAACTGATAACATCCCAAAAAAGGACAATTACATATTATGTAAAGTGGTGTGTATATAAATCTGCACATTTAAACTGTCCTCATAAGGCCGTAAAAGCAAGCTGACTAGTTTGTACTGGATTATTTTGTTTTGCTGTTTTAAAATTCTCCACAGACAACATATCCATTTATTGCCTGTACTCTGGGCAGAGGCTCCCACTGCTCCCCACCTCCCAACATTGATATACCACTAATTATATAACTTTTGTTAGAAGTACTCAAAACCAAGTGTAAAGTAGTTTTCGGGTCTACTACCCTGACCCTGGGTGGGTGGTTAGGAATCAACGTTTAATCCACTTACAATTTTCGAAAAGTAAAAAAGACAAGCTGGGTAAGGCAACATGTGCCTGTTGTCACAGCTATTGAGGAGGCTGAGGCAAGAGGGTGGCTTGAGCCCAGGAGTTCAAGGATATAGTATACTACGATCATGCCTATCAACAGCCGCTGGACTCCAGAATGGGCAACATAGAAAGACTCTGTCTCAAA